TGGAAGGCCAAATAAAGTAGTTTCGCTTTCACAACGAAACACACAGCGTCACACACTGCGGGCTTGAGTGAGCGGAGGCCGGTGTGCTTGAGAACGGTGCGGCCGGCGGATTCGACGAAGGAGCGGCCGGCGGGCTTGCGGCAACCACATGTGACGAGCCTGGGCTGGACTCCGCTTCGTCTACGGTGAAAGCCAATCCACAGCGCGAAGTTGATGTATTTCCTCAGCAACCAGCACGGATCAGCTCCAGGCATGATGAAGCGGATATTGTCCTCTTTTGTAAGACCAAACAAAGTAGTTTCGCTTTCACAACGAAACACACAGCGTCTTCACGACATGGCGGCGGCAGCAACAATACTACAGCGAGAATAGAAGTTACGCCTTCTTTCTTTGCGTGAACATTTGGCCGGTGTTATGCAAATCTCCCCACACAGTGACGTAGACATGTGGGGGCGTGTTTAAACGAGGCCTTTTAGGAGGGCGTGGACAAGTCTTAACTTTTATAATGAATATCTCTTTGGGTTTGAGACTTTAGTTTTTGCAACTTTAGGGATCTTATCTATGCACAAACAGCTTGTAACACTCCAAAGAGAAAGGAAAAATTGAAATTGCATCATATGACCCCTTTAAATACTTAAAAATTGCTTATAAAATCGCAAAAAACACTGATGTGCCAAGCTGAAACTGAAAACCGCTATGTATTGAACCGTGTGCTAACTGTACTGTTGCATCCCTAATATCATGCATTTGATGGTATATCTTTAAGTGCTTATATTTAGGGATGCACGATATTATCGGACCAATATCGGAATCGGCTGATAATGGCTTTAAATATAAATATCGGCATCGGCCCGATATGAAAAATTATGCCGATATGTCTTGCCGATAAGAGGAATGCATTAACTCGCATGTGCTCAGGGTGTGCTAGTGATTAGATCACGTCAGCAGTGTGGCTCATTCTTGAAGCAAAGTTTTGCCTGAATTGTGATTAGATTCACTGTTTTGGATCACTGCATTTAAACTGAGAATGCAGTACAGAATGAGTTCGGTGTGTGATAGAGTAAACAGTAATAGCACCAGCAGCGGCAGCTTCCCCCGGGTCCTAAAGCCTGTTCAGTAATGAGTTTTAATTCCGTAGGGGGCGCTGTTGGCCTACTTCTAATAAAATGAATGCAAAATACACAAATAATATTTAGACTGTGTTTATGATTAAATAAAGCAGTAATTGATGCCATAAAATCATGAGAATGTTTTGATTTAAAGATCAGAAGCTATAGCTTACATTAACAAATAAAATTTAAAAAAAATCACAAACATGACACTTAAATAACTTTATATTAGGGCTGTGCGATTTGGGGGAAAATATCAAATTGCGATTTTTTTGACAGATATTGCGATTGCGATTTGATTTGCGATTTTAAATTTGCAAAGTCAAGCTTCAGCTCAATATGGTCAATAATGTGCAGCACAGTATGGGTATCATTACCCTGCTGAAAAACACAATAGAAACAATCACAGTAATTCTTATAGTTTACATTAAACCATTACAATATTCCTCATTGCT